TGGGATCATCATGCAACGGCCCAAATCGCACCCGAACCGCCTCAACAAAAGTCAGCCATGGTATCACACCGTTGTGGCTCTTTTCAAAATGCTGAGACCACTTGTATGCGTCATTGTCGAGAGCGATGCTAGCCATGAGAGTCTTCCTTGCTTCAGGTGTTCCATCCAATTCAAAGTATCGCTCACACTTTGCGATCCACGCATCTACATCGGCTGCTGAAAAACTCGGAAAGTCAAGCTTAGTGAACCTGGTGGGTACATGGTATTCTCCGCCATGTCGATCTCGGCCATGACCTTCTTGCGCTTGCAAATCCACAACCCGTAGAGACATTTGACGTACAAAGTCTTGCAGTTCCGTCATTTGCTCTCGGACATCTTGTAATACACCCAAGTTCGTTTCAAGCGCTCCAAACCTTTGGAGAGCCAATCCCTAAAAGCTAGCTGTTAGGGAGGGAGAGCCATTGGTTTTAAATACCCCATCAAGCAACCCATACTACCCGATGTGGGACTTTGCCCACACAAAGTCCCTATCAATACATCCTCCGCGGAAAGCCGACGTCCCGGCGGGTCCACTCTACGACGCTTCACTCGGCCCTTGCCGGTCAGCCCCTCCGCAGGTAGCCCTTTCCGATGCGTCGACCACCGGCTCTGATACCATGATGAGGATACAAGAAGAAAGAGGGTACAAGGAGAAGAGAACAGAAGATTTAGAAGAGAGAAGAGAAGGAGAATTCAAGAGGGAGTCTGAAAATGCTTATCTGATAACCGTTCTATCGTGTTCCCCACATTACATATACATGCAGAAACAATAAAATAACCAACAAGACAGAAAAGACAAAATAGTAACATAAACCAAACAAAATGACTACCATGCCCTTGTACATATTATATTATCGTATCAGATCGAGAGGGAGAGGGAGGGGGAGACTGAGACCGAGAGGGAGGGGGAGAGTAAACTGACACCGAGAGGGAGGGGGAGACAGAGACCGAGAGGGAGAGCCGGAGAGGGAGACTGAGAGGCGAGAGGGACTGAGTGAGAGCCAGAGGGAGTCGCGGTCGCAGCAAGGGGAGGGGGCGGCTAGGGTTGGACGAAGGAAAGGACGAAAGGTAACACTGTAATGGGAAAGAATTAAAAAATAATAATAATAAGCTGAAAATATTAATTTATTTCAGGCAGGACCAAACGGGCATGTCCAAAAAATATCCCTTTTCTTCTAGGCTTCAATTTTTTAGGCCGGCTTGAGTTTCTTTTTCTCCAGACTCCGGTAGGTACACCGGGTGAACGGGTATCATGAATACTCTTAGGGGGTGTTTAGATAGAAATTAAACCATAGTTTTAAAAGTGCTTTTACGGATTACGAAATAAATATGTGGAAGAGGTTACCTCGTTCTGCAGAAAAGTGCTTCTGAAATTACAGTTTTGAGAATGCCAAACACCCCCTTAGTTCTCAGTAAATTTGTGGTTCTCTATTGAAGGATGGTTTAAACTTAAGTTTCAATGGCTCTTTGACAGTTTTCATTTCTCCTTGGCCCGCGTCAGGCTTGATGATATAACCCGAAAGGGAAAAATCCGACCCATTTGTCAACCAAGCATTACATATTTCAAGAATAAGACAGATATAAGAGCTATATTACTAATTTATAAATATTAAAAAAATTAGTTAAATTAATTATTTATAATAAATAACTGTTCATTCTTGTTAATTATATGTATTAAAATAAAATTTTTTAATATATATAATTATTATGGGGACTATTTGGAGAAAAATGGATAAATATAGAAGATAAAGTGAATTAGAGTCTTATATTTAGAATCAAATTAAATTTTTAACTAATTTTTATATTTAAGACCATAATTTCATTTCATAACTCCAAATCAAAGAAGTTATGATCTATTGAGAAGACTGCGAGATAAATCCCAATAACATCAGGAATATATGTGTATAAACTACCTCCAGTGCTTATTATAAAAGCTTATTTGATTTTTATTTTAGTTCTAAATATGAGATCCTAATCTACATTATTTCTCATATTTATCTATTTTTTCTTAAGATAATTTTTGTAATAATAGTAACTCTAACCAATATCCAATATACGTTATCAACAAGGATATTTTAGAAAAGACAACATGTATTACTTTTGATTCTTAATATAAGACCTCGTTTGACTTTTATTTTGGTCCTAAATATAAGATTTTAATCTATTTTGTCTCTTATATTTATATTTTTTTTAAGATAGGCCTTCTACTAATAATAGTTTAAACCAATAAACTTGATTAGCAGGATATTTGAGGAAAAACAATATATATTTATTACATATAACTAGAGCCGGGAAAATGGGCCGAGCCTGTCGGGCGGGCCCGTTTAGGCCCTGAAATTATGAGGGCCGGGTTTGATATTTTTCTTTTAAAATAGGAAATAAGCTCTGGAGGGCCGAGAGCTTAAAAGGATCGGCCCTGGAGGGTTGCGGGCCAGGCCTTTTAAGCCCTTTTATAATTTTTTTTATTTTTAAAATTTTTTATATAATTTTAATGTTATTAATTTTTTACATTGTTAATAATATTTCAAATATTTAGTTATTATTATCATTTTAAAATTAAATTTAGTTTTAGACAATAATTTATCCAATTAAATTTTTAAAAAATGGGTTAATTTGGACTTTAATAATGATTTGATTTATATTATATGCGTTGATATTTTTAAACTATATATATTTGATAATAGAATATTTTTATACTTATATAACTTGTGATTCTATAATTTGAATTAGAAATTCATGAGTTTCAACAACAATGTTTCTCACATTAAAGTAAAATAATAGTTAGATTGTAAAATTTAAAAATAAAATTCTTATAAAGAAGAAAAACTTGATATTTTTGTTACGAAAGAAAAACATATTTATGAAAAAAAGCAATTAATTATAGTGATAATGAAGTTTCAAAAGATTAATGATAGTGTTTATTTATTACACAATTGCATTATAGATAAAACTTTTAAATGTTGTTATCTTGTTAATGAATGTTTTAGATGTTCTTAGATGTTGATAAATATTTATATATGGTAATATTTTATATTTGTGACTTAATTTTATTCATATTTATGTCTTTTATTAATAATTTTGTTGGTTTATTTTTATAAAAAATATGATAAATATAAAAAATAGTATTTTTCTTAAACGGGCCAAAAACCCGCAGGTCGGTCCTGATCCTGCAGCTTAAGGGCTGGACCTAACAAATTGGGGTATTTTTAAAATTTCAACCCTGGAGGGCCGGTCCTTTTAAGCCCGTCAGCCCTGAAGGACCGGCCCTGATTCCCAGCTCTACATATAACTAACTTAACTTATTTTCTTAGTATATTCAAGTTAGTCAATTAATTGTTACATTTAGGATTGGAGATAGTATTTATTACAAATACTAATCTAATTAGTTTTCTTAATTTATTTAAATTAATTAACTAATTTTTATATTAAGAATTGAACGAAGTAGTATATCAATAAGAGAATGATTATGGCACTTGTTAGTAAATGCCAAAGCGGATGAAAAGGTCAGAAACACATGATTAGGCCATTTGGATGATGCAGAAGGGCAAGGTGATATGAAAGCTAGAGTCAATGATTTAGTTAGTTGGACGTCCCTGTAAAGTAATTGGAACGACGATAATCCCCAGAAGCATTAATTTAATTGCTGCATGCGCTCATGCGCCACCCAGATTCAACGTTGGGGAAGAAAATAGACAACAACGTCAGACTTCTGTTTGGGACGATGCTGATCTGCCCAATTTCTTCGAATTTTTGTTACCAAATACAATGATGAAATAAATACATAATACACTAATAGATTCTTAACATTCACTCACTAGTGCCCTGTCGGCTCTTCGTCGAAGCAACGTGGCGGTGGGTGCAGTCGTGGAGAGCTTCTGACCCAGTTTAGGGTGTGTTTAGAATAAAGATGACTAAAGTTAGATTGAGTAAAAGTCATATAGTATAATGTGATTTATATTTAGATGGAGTTTTGTAAAAAAATCAGTTTGAGAAGCTAAAACTTATTTAGATAATAAATGTAAAAATAAATTTGAATGCAAAATGATTTAAAAGGACATGGATTTTATTAAATAGTACATATATAATATTAGATATATATATATATATAATGTGACTATTTTAAAAGAAGTAAGGAAAATAAAATTATTAAAAGTAAATAAATTTAATTTATTATTAGAAAAAAATTATATATATAATGTGACCATTTTAAAAGAAGTGTTCAAAATAAAATTATTTAAAATAAAAAATTTAATTTATTATTAGATAGAAATTGAAAAATACTAAAATACTTAATTAAATATATTACAACTGCTAATAAAATAAGAACACATAACACTAGAAAAACTCAAAATACTGTAACCTTCCTCCCCATTTCACTGCACCAGTATTTTTCACATTATGAAAAGCAAGATCCATCAACTTCATTCCAAAAACCCATTTGAATCCAAAAGTCAAATTGCAAAAACAGTATACCAAGCATCACTTTTGACAGAAAAAAAGCTTTTACCGATTGAGGTGCACGTTTCGGACCCCAAACATGATCCCAAACAGGTCCTCATTGAATTCTGCAGCGTTGTTCCTCCGCTCGCAGATAATTCAGTCCACGTCTAATCCTCTAAGCACAAAGAAATAAGAACGATGCTTTCAAACCTGTCTGTCTCTTGCAACCTTTTTTTCTTTTTTTGTCAGCTCAGTGAAAGTACATCCATGTCAAGGTCCAAGTGGTAGGGCCGATTTCAAAAGTGAATACTAACGCCTGCATACTGACAGCTTGAAAACAAAACATTCTCTTTGCTCTCCTGGAAACATCAGTTTTTGGTGTGCCACACTCAAATATGACACCAATGATAAAGGGAAAGAAGTACTGAACTCATACAATGTCAGAACAAAAATTCAAGTGGAAGCATCATAATTTCATGAATTCATGCCCCAGAAGGGAATACAATGGAATCTCAGTATACATGACATCAGTAAATATAATTTGTGGTCTTTCACGCCTTTCTGGATCAACTTCTCGACGATCATCTTTAAAACCTCTATATTGGGGTAAAGTGTCAAAGGCATTGCAAGGAAGTTTATGGGAAGAATTACAAAAACGTAGGCAGGCCCAAGTGTAATTTATTTAATTTTCATTGTACATGTTCATTTGAATCATTTCAATCTAATGTGATTATAAATTTTCATTTCTAATATTAACATCCTTCCCTTTTGTAATTACTGGTGTCATATTTTGATTTAGTGCACCAGAATTTGATGTTTCAGAGATAGAGACCCTTTTCTCAGCAGTTGTTCCAAAAACTTCTGATAAATCTGTAGGACGTTGTAAATCAGTTGGATCCAAATCTGACAAAGTCCACTTGGTATTCTCCCATACCAATATTCTTGAATTTGATGTCGAAATACACCTATGTATGTTAGAAGTGATTGTTTGAATAGTTGGAGGATTTATTGTCGCTTTTTGGATGTCATGTTTAATACCCACACTCATCGAATTGCTTGAGTTAATTTTCTCTATGCTACTTCCTCAATATCCGGGCTTTAATTAGTGTTTTTTTTTAATTATAGATTGAACTGAAGAGGGCCAATAATGTTGAAATTATGCTCACAAAGATTAAGATGCCACTTTCTGAAATGATGGTAAGCAGATGCTTCCAAATGTCTTGATTCTTATGAGTAAATTTTATAAGTGATGCTCATGCAATTTGGGTTTGGATTACGCAAGTTAAATGAAATTTATATGAGCGGCAATATTCTATTACAAGAAGCATTATTACGATGGATATAGTCATTTTCAATTAGTATCATGGACGATTCTTGCCGTAATCTTTTTTATCTGTACAAACTCATGCAAATTTCAGAATTCTCGATCCCTAATATTTAATTTAAATATTGTCTAATGTGTCAAAATGTATACTCCCAGGCTGCAATTCTAACTTTGGATGATACAGTATTAGATGTTGATCAGGTTGAAAGTCTTGGTAAGTACTGTCCCACTAAAGAGGAGATGGAACTTTTGAAGGTAAGGCTTAATAAAGCTCCATCTTCTTCTTACGTTTTTCTTTTGCAATTAATTGAGGATTCTCGTTTTTGTAATCCCAATTTGTCCGGGCTTCAATTCTTTAGGGATATACTGGTGACTATGAGAATTTGGGAAGGTGCGAACAGGTCTGTAAGTCAGCTCTATTATTCATAATATAAATGTGATTAAATTTACATATTTTTCCTCTTATTTTTCCTGTTACCCCCACAACCTATTTGGGTTTTAGAGATATATTCTTATTTAGATTTTTTCAGTATTTTTTGGAGCACATGAAAGTTCCACGGGTGGAAGCAAAATTAGGAGTTTTTTCTTTCAAGATTCAGTTTAATCATCAGGTTTGGCTTTATCTGTAATATGCATGTTTTCTTTTTATCCCTCAGGCTGAGATTTATATTCTTTAGTGCGGTGTTATATACTTTCGTCTTTATGCAGATTGTAGAATTTAAGAAAAGTTTAGGCACTGTGAACTCTGCTTGTGAAGAGGTACTTTACTTAAAATGTAACATTGAATTCTGTTTTTTGTGTTCGTTACCTCATCCTTCCTGTTCTTGGTAATAGGTCCGGAACTCTGACAACCTGAAGAATATTATGCAGAAAATTCTTTATTTGGGGAATACTCTGAATCAAGGAACAGCTAGGGGTTGGTGTTTCTCTTGGCATGTAATTTATTTTCCGGGGTCAACAATAAGAATTAAATATTTGTATCAAATGCAGGATCTGCTGTTGGATTCAAGTTGGATAGTCTTTTAAAGCTCACTGAGACTCGTGCTTCTACTGGTAGGATGACACTAATGCATTATCTATGTAAGGTATAAGGAAATGGGTTTTCTCAATTTCTCTCCAAGTTTTGAATTTCAATATGAGGTTGAGACGTTCAAAATCCAGAATTGTAATTTATTTTTTTTTGTATCTGATTTATATGGGCTTCAGGTCTTAGCTGAAAAGTCTCCTGCACTCCTTGATTTTCACTTGGACCTTGTTAGCCTGGAAGTTGCTAGTAAGGTGATGTTCCATCCTTGAATGTGCTTAGCTTTATGCAAAATTTAAAAAGAGATATTTATATATCTATGTATATATATGGTAAATCTTACGGAAGAAAGATTTGTCCATGAATGTGTAGTTCTCTATTTATTCACCATTTTATTGATTTGAAATGGAGCTGGTTGCACACAGATACAATTAAAAGCATTAGCAGAAGAGATGGCGTCAATTAATAAGGGATTACGAAAAGTTAAACAGGAGCTTGCTGCATCTGAAAACGACGGCCCTTCATCGGAAAGTTTCCGCAACGTGTGTTTACCTCCTTACGTTAACTTGTTCATTCATGAACTTATCACCATAAGAATGAACAATATAATGAATGAAGTTCTGTTCCTTTATCCAAAAGGGGGGGGGAACCCTGCTTTCTTTGCTTTATCTCGTTAGTTTTCAGTGCATTCACTGCTCTTTCGTTCTTTATAGACACAGAGAATTTATTGAAGGTGCTGAGTTAGAGGAGGCATCTGTAACAACTCTATATTCTGTGGCGGTAATATTCTTAGCCATCTCTTTGGTATGCAAGTTTCAATATGTATAAGATTATATTATGCTTCTCTTTGTTTTAAAATATTCGGGCTTCATAATATAATACACAGAAACAGAGAAGAAATAAATGATGTATTCGTCTATGTACTTTGTGTCTGGACAGGGCAAAAATGCAGATGATCTTGCAAGATATTTCAATGAGGACCCTGCTCGTTACCCATTTGAACAAGGTGAGCAAATCATACTATGTTTAAATGCATTCATCTTATTACTCTTTCTGGTTTTTCCCTCTCTTTTCCATTTGTATCATTTAAATTTTATCGGATGTACATTTGAATGCATTATTACGTGCATTCCAACACCTTACCATTGAGTTTCCACTGGTTAGTTCATTTGTTTGAGGGAAATTGTTGCTTGATGATTACAGTAACTGCGACGCTATTGAATTTCATGCGGTTGTTTCGGAAAGCACACGAAGAGAACATAAAACAAGCAGAGTTGGAGAAGAAAAGAGCTGAGAAAGAGGCTGAAGAGAAGGCTAAGGCAGATGCTGCTGCTGCTGCATCCAAAGAAGTTTCGTAGCATTGAGCATTTCTCTTATTCATTGTATTGTACAAAGCTCTAACCCATCTTTCTTCGCTAGAAAAACCAATTCTTTTATCTGTATAGCGTAGAAATTAGTTTCTTTTTCTTCCATAGATAGGACACACACACCAACATAAAGATGTTGTATAGGTGACAGACAGAAAGACAGGTCAGCAGGACTTAGAAATTAGGCACTGTAATCTGTATTTAATTTGTAACTGTAATGTAAGTGAAGAGCAGGCTCAATTAGAAATGCCAGTTTCATTTATATTCTCAGCCATATGTGTTAATCAAAGGTGTAATAATCTCTCTTATCTTTATTCTTTAGGGGCAAATTTCCATTATTTTGCCATTTTCTGAACTTGGGAACTTGACTAATTCACGGTTGATATTCTTTTGAGTATAAAATGTTGTCTGAAACAGGAAAATCTGGTTGAGCAGCATTGTACTGAACAACTTTTCCAGCACTTTATAGTGAGCCATTTAATTTTCAGTCTACAGTTAATAACTGTTTTAAATGTATCTTACTCTGGTCCCAATGATTTGGATTATAAATACCACCAATGAAGGGTTCCCTTTACTGGTTTAAGCCTTCTACAGGAAATCTTATGTAATTTTATTAAGATAAATAAATGAAAATACTAAAAAGATAAGCTTATCTATACGACTACATTGTATTTATTGCATCTTCCAAATATGCTTTACAAAAGACTAGATTAACGCCCAAACTAACTGAAGTTTGTGTTATTCACATTGCAGTAATGGATTGCTAATTTACAAAGTAAAGCAAAACTGATGAAACAGATATATAAGAAAGTGACACAAAATGGTGAACTAATCTCTGACCCCTGTTCCCCGGGATTTCTTTCTTTTTCTTTTCATTTTTTTTAATGATTCCCCTATTTTTATGCCCCCGAAGTTGCTTCTTTTCCTTTGAGCAACATGAATAAAACTTCACAAATACTTTGCTATAATTTCTTAAAATAATGCCTACTTCCTTTTACATGAAACTTTGACCGAAGAAAATCTTTGAATAGAACCAACATTTTGCTACCTTACGGTATTTGCTCGAAGTTCTTCTCCTCTCTGTCTTCTCGATCAACGATCCATGACTGTGTCACGCAGCTTTTGTAAAACATGCAGCTAATAATTGTATCAAGAACAATGAAGATGGAATACAAATAAGCAATGAAAATCCCCTCTAAAGCCAGAAAAGGCCCTGCTTTTCCAACATTGTGATAGGCCCTCACAATTCTGAACTGAAACAGAGCTTCAATGGCAGCCAAAGCCACATTCACAGGAAGAGCCAAGAACAGAGCCATTGATGTCCTTCCCCTTATCAAAACACAAGCTTTCAGAATAGTTAAATACCCTCCATGTCCCTCCAAGCCTGACACAGCCAACGCCATATTGCATATCACAAGAGCATTTGCCAGGATCACAGAAAACAGAACCACCCCAGAAGCTGAAAGGAAAAGGAGGAAGCTTGGAGAAGGCGAAAATCCCAGCCCTTCAACAAATCCAAAGGCCAAAAACAGAAGGCAGAAAGCCGAAGCATTTGCTGAGACAATCAAGAATGAATTCAAAACGTAGGTGTTGAGGAGTGCCTTGTAAAGAGATGCTATAGAAGAAAACGAAGGTTCAACCGCAAGCTTATGATGATTCAGAGCTTGAATCACAGAAGCTTTGGCAAAGAGGAAGAAGGTAAGGGTAAAAGGGAGGGTGAAGATGGAGGAAATGATTGTCTGAGAGACCTTAAGGTTGAGAATTGTGAGCAACTGTGAGGAGGATGGAAAGCCTGCAGCTTCAAAGAGAATCCTCAAACGATTATAAATCTGGGGAAGAAGAGATACAGAAGAAGAAGAGATCAAAGCCTGCAAGAGGAGGACTGAAGCAGAGAAAGGGAAGGCAAGAAAAGCCGAGGTTGAAGTGAAGTAATGGTAATTTTGCAGGAAGCCATGAATGGATCTTCTGAGAATCTTGCCTGAAGCTTCCATTGAAGATTGATCTTAATTTTTCCAGGAAGATGAACAGGAGTGGCTTGTTTGTTCTCAGGAATGGTGTACAAGAGAGAACCAAAGGAGGTGATGGAGTTTCCTTTTGTTTACAAGTTCCCTTTAATGGGTTTAGCTTTTTCTGTGCGGAAATGTTAGGTTTGAGTTTTTAAGGGTTTGGTGTTCAGAATGAATGGATTGGCCAGCTACAAGAAACTAACGACCTTCCGAGGTGTATTTGCCTTATTTTTTGTTGGCCATATTATAATAAACCAGACACCATGTGTGGAGGTTATTTTAGTTGAAGTGAGATTTGGAGAGAAAAAATAAGTAAATTATATATGAGATAAAAGATAAGTGAGATTTATCTTTCTAATCTTTTTTACAGTCTTTTTCTGTTACATAAATCGCATAATAAAAGTAAGGTTTACTCATCCCTTACTTGCTTTTCACCCTTGTAATGATAGTAGAAGATGTAATATGTTTACTGTTAGTTTAGTATATATTTCTTTTGTAAACTGAATTTATTAGAACTTCTTTTTTCCCATTTTTTTTCTTACTCGGGATCTTACTTAATACATGAGGATCAGATTAATTTGGTAAGAGAGGGATCTGGTCCTTGGATTGATGATGAAAGGTACAGATTGCTTAAAATGCACATCAGTTGGCAGCTTATAATTACTGATACAGTCCTTTTCCAAGTCCAAGTAATATATTTAAAATCATGCCAAAATGAAAGACTCCAATGTTGGCCCCATTATTATCCTTCAAACCCAAGTGACATTTTTATTATTTTTTTAAAAAAAAATCATAAAAATTTAATAAAGGGAAATTACACCTTGACAATGAAGGAAATTAGGATTTAGTTCAAGGCTTCCATTATATAATAAAGAAGAATTTAAGGAATAATAAGTTGTGATGCATGCTACCTTTAAGGTAGGACCAGGACCCTAGTTTTGGTACTTTTCACATGCGACCTGAATATGTCTTAGCTTGCAAGATATATTTTAATAATAATAATATCAATAAATACTATATGAATATATATATATATAATGGAACGTTACCTTCTAATACCATCAACAATTATTATTAGATTAAAGTGACTCCATCGTATGATTATCACATATTATTAATTATTAATGACGTATTATAAGGTCATGCCACAACATGGGGAGATAGCTCTGCCATCTTGAACCCATAACAAATCAATCCTCTTTTTTTTACCTTCATCTATTTAGAATTTTACCTACTAAACATTTGTGGGCAACATTGATGAAAAATATAGGACATATTTTCATGATGGCTAGCATTGTAGGCTTATGATTTGAGGAATCAGATCAAAAAAGTTATAACAGTTTGCTGCCACGAGTCGCACAGTCCCACGTTTTCTTATAGTTCTCATATAGTCAGTTTAAGGATATTGGCCAAATCTCAATTATTGAATTCAAACACCTCATTAACTAACTCTAAATCCAAATTCAAGATTTTGGGGTGTTATAGTGCTTCTGGTAAAACATCATCTAATTGATGGCTTTGAAACCTTTTAATTATTAAGATTTTTCAATTGGATGAGGCCGTTAATTAGACTTGGATATTATAATACAGGAGGAATTTATGTTTGGTTTCTTAATAAAAAATAAGAATAACATGTAGGGATACTAATTTAGTCCTATTTGCACCCCTTGGTGAGATGTCAACATATGTCTAGTGATATTCTACCTGAAAATTAATTGTAATTAGGTGGCTCAACATATGACTTGGAGATTAGTTTCTTATCCACATAGACATTTAAGTTTGGAACTTCCTAATTTTTAAGCTTGCTTCTCTTATTAAATTAGTCTGAAATAGATTATAGGTTGATCATATACCTAATTATATTTATAGGGCATGCTTATTCTAGAAAAGTAATAATAAACAAGGTATGCAAACAAAAGTTTCTATTTTTATCGTTATTCCACCATTTTTAATCCAACCCCACAATTTTTCCTGCTATATACAAAATTACAAATTATGCCAATCATAAACAAAAAATACGATATTTATGAGAAGTCCTTCTTGTACAAGAAATGGAATGTTTTGCGTTCGGTAGAGAAATGGATACTCCAAGGAGTAACAATATGTCTTTCAAAACTACAACTTCGGCATAGAAGTTTTGGTGTTTGCAGTGTTTTGGCATACAATTATTTTAAGAAAACTGATAACAATTCGCGAATTAAAAATTTTATTATTAAGAAAAACACGATAAATTTATATATATAGAAAGTACTGGTATTTATAAATTTTGCATATACATAAAGCATCAGAACTCTGATTTAGGTTTTGCTATCAATAAAATTTTTGCTTTATGCTATTACTTAGTGTTGTTTGTCTTCCAGGTTATAAAAAAATCGATAAAATTTTTAATTGGGAACTTTTTCCCAATTTTCTTATTTATTTTTTATTTTTATATATTTTTTGTTGCTTTATTTGCTTCATTAATATAAAGAAATGCTAACAAACGCTGCTGGAAATGCACCATCTAAAAATTAACTAGCTGCCTAGGCTTTTGAAAATGTGACGCTGAAGTTTTGCCAAACAAGACAGTAACTTAATTAGTTACTTAGCCTTTTTAAAATGTGATTTTAAAGCTTTGCCAAAGAAGTCAAGTTTTGGTTCAGATCAGATCTCTCAAAGTTGTTTTTGGCCTTTAAATATTCTCCTTAGTATTGTTGCAATTTCTCTTAATTATTGTACAACAAATAAATAAGAAAAAAGGACATGAGGTCCTTTGCAATAAAAGTATGAATGGACTCATTTTTAAAATCATCTTATATTTTTTATTATGCCATATACAGAATTTATTTTTTTAAAAAAATTAAACTATGACAAAATGTTTAAAAGGGGTCAGTAGGTTGAATACTGTTGGCAAAGCTGCTGAAAGTGAATAAATATAAGCCACTGATTCAACTAATACTTATTTAGTTAACCAGAAAGTAGACAAAATTCTCCTCCTCCTTTTTCCTTGGATGACATAACTTCTCTTGAAATTAATTACAGAAATAAATTAGTTAAGTTAGTTGTTTATAAAAATTATATATTAATTATATTAATTTACTTAAAATATCTATTTAATAACTACCATTAAAATTAGCTACATTGATCAACCCCTTTTAATATATACAATTAATTGGTAAGGAATAGTTTTGGGGAATTATAAATTTGAAGGATAAATTGAATTAAGATTTTATATTTATGATCAAAACAAATCTTAATTCATATATGCTCTTAGTCTTTAATGTAAAAACATACTTATCCGATCCTAAATATAAGACCCTTATATATATCTAGGATCAGAGGAGTACTTAATTAATTTGAGTAGATTAAAAAAACTAAATAGATTACTTAATTTTAAGAAAATGTGATATAATCTCTTTGAAATAACATTATATATAATTGTATGAGAGATAAAATTGATTAGTGTCTTGTATATAAAAGCAAAATTAACTATCTAATTAATTCTTACATTTAAGATTGAAGAAATTTTTATTATCAAAGTAAGTATTATATTGATATGCAGCTTGATTTAGACATTACATGATTACTAAATTGAAAAATTTATTAAAAAAAAAAGGAAGGTATCTGAAGACTTTTAAAACGATAAGGAAATGGTATGAGGAGGTGATTAATTTAATTGTCATCATTATATTAGGTGACTAAAATTCGAAGAAATTGGGCAGATCAGCGTCGTGCCAAACAGAAGCCTGACGTTGTTGTCTGCTTTCTTTCCCCACAATGAATGTGGGTGGGGCATGAGCCAATAAGAGTAATTAAACTAATCCTTCTGGGGATTATCGTCATTTCAATTAGTTTACAAGGACGTCCAACTAAATTATTGACTCTTGTTTTCATCTCACTTTTCCCTTCTGCATCATCCAAATGGCCTAATCATGTGCTTCTGACCTTTTCATCCACTTTGGCATTTACTAACAAACACCATAATCATTCACTTATATATATATATATATATATATATATATGAGCTTATTAGAATTTATCTCACAATCTTCCCAATAGATAATAAGTTCTTTGATTTGAAATTATGATATGAACTTATGTTTTTAAATATAAGAGTTGGTTTGAGATTCAAATTGATCCTAAATATAAGATCCCAATTTACTTTATTTTCTATATTTATTCATTTTTTTCCAAATAGTCCCCATAATGATTATATATACTAAATGTTTTTATTCTAATACATATAATTAACAAAAAAACAGTTATTTATTATGAATAATTACTTTAACTATTTTTTTTAATATTTATAAATTAGTTATCTAACTTTTATATTAAAAAAAAACTAGTAGTAAAATTATAATGCTTTTTAATCGTTCACATTATATGCCTTACGTTTGCACTCCCAATATGATCCAAGTTAGTTTTTTTTTTGGGGCCAAAACTAAATTATTTATTTCGTTATTTTAATAAAAACAGATGGTATTTGGCGGTTTCCTCCGTTAAATTCTGAGTTTCTGACAGTGACAGGAGTCAGGATTGCCATTGATGAGGCACAAAGAATGAACATTGAGTCACTTGCAGATGATGAATTTGACTGACATATCAATACAAAATAAATTTATATATAAAAAATAATGTAAAAACTCTATTAATGGCGAATTATTTATGGGTTATTAACAGAGCCGATCATTTGGAATAAGATAAAACTTACATTACTTGTAATAAAAAACAATCATAGATGTATCCAAAAAAAAAACAATGATAGATTGCCACTGCAAGTCTTACTGAATTCTGCAGCGTTGTTCCTCTGCTCGCAGATAATTCAGTCCACGTCTAATCCTCTAAGCACAAAGAAACAAGAACTATGTTTTCAAATTTTACACCCCAATTTATCCCCCAAAAAAAAAAATGAGGTGGATTGAGAAATATTTTCAATTTAATATATTATCTGAGACTGAAAGATGAGTTACTACCTCTCCAGTATTTCTTGAGCCCATAAGATCCAATCTTTCTAAAGGCCTCAGCTTTGACAAGGAAGCAAGCTGCAGAATGAGAGCACACATTAAAAAACTATGGAGTTTCCAAAAATGGCGAACAACATTAATGTAATCTCAGGAAGAATAAGCGCAGACCCAAAAACTGAAGCGCTCTGGATCTCTTAGACTGGGCATCATCAGTTCAACAGACTGGATTCTCTCAAGTCTTCTATGATCTGCTTGAGATTTTCTAGTTATATATTGCAATATTGTGTTTCCGTTGTCGCTAAATTACAGTTCCAACATGTTACCTTGTTTTACTCTTGCTGCTTCTTTGGCTCTTCTTATCCATGATCGAGCTGTTTCAGCTGCATCATACGTCAATTCCTGTAACTGCACCAAAACAGAAACAAAGTCACTAAGATCGAAACCTGTCACAACACTGCATCCTATTCAGCACGCTCTGACTTAACTATAGCATAACTTGACATAAAAGAATTCAATAATTCTAAGTTCTGGGAACTTGGCTTAGTTAAAGCTGAACGAAGGACGCTTGGTAGCATGGGATACCAAGTCATAGAATGAGGTGCTTAATAGAATATTTAAGTGGGTTGGTTCTCCCATCTCATCGTTTAGCTTTTGGGTCCCACCCCACTCAAATACCCATCCTCATCATACATAATATTTTTGTACACTATAAAGATGGGGCATAATTAGCAGTGAACTTACATACTGTCTCTCTCTACTGCCTTCTGGAGGCATGATATCCTGTATCCATTCAACCTCTGCTACACGATACCTGCATAAATCATTTGGAAAGAATAAAGCCATATGCCTTAAGAATAAGCAAGCCAGATCAACAAGAGAATGTGTTAGCAGACATCTGGAGAACACTTACCCATCCTGATTCCGAGATCGGATTATGCGAAATCTCCTGCGACTTTCAATCTGCATGGTTGAAATTTTTTCCACATGGAATTAAATTATAAAAACCTCACATGGAAATTCCTTAGAGGCATCTGAGGTTTCCTAGGATTAATGACACCAAATTAGGAGACCCAAATAATTAAGTCAGTCAGATGAAAACAGAGACGCATATTACTGCCAAACTTCTCCTCAAAATGAATAAAGAGTCAAAGCTAAGTCAACACAAATACATAGAGAAATCACAATTATATATTCACCTCTATATAGAAACGTCCATCCGGAAGTGGTTCACACCTACACAATCAAATCAAAAAATCCTTCATTTGAAACATGTAAACATACACGAGGAGGCACTTTGTGAGAGGGTCTGTATTAAGAATACTTTTCTGTGGAAAAAGATGACTAACACTTACTCTGTGATTTCCACTTCACAAGCATACTCAGCTAAAGAACCTGTTGTAGAATCAATTACAGCCTACATGATTGATAGACAAAGCACACGAAAGGGATTTGGTCAGCCCAATATTCCTTAAGCAGGAAAAGGGAAAGAAAAGGACCAGTAACAATAATCTACCATCCCCATCCTATGATTCCCTTCCATTACTCTTCTGACCTGTTTTTGAAAGAAAGGAATTACTCTGATCAGAAAAATGATGCCAGTTGAAATATTACAGCATAAAGATAACTTGTCAAACACATTATTATTAGTAATTATTTCCCTGAGCATATATGTATATGCCTCATCATCATAGTTATATGTATTGCCTCCTGAATGATATTCATAACACGCCACTACTCATCAGTAGTTGGAAAGTGACCCTACTACATCTCTTAGAGAGGTTGCAATAAGAGAAATAAAAAGGTTGCAATTTTCAGTTATATTGAAACTACGGAATTTTTCACCTTTAGAAACTACTGACCAACTTACCATAAGCCTATATCGAGGTTCAAATATATTGAGTGGGAACTTTTGACACGGCATGACAACATCCATGACAAATAGAGGAATCAAATCCACACCAAAGTTGGTCAAACTGTCATGCTCTTGCTTCCTTTTGGCATATTCTTCGGGAAAGTTCTTTTGTATGATGCTCTTCAATGTCACACTGGAAGAAATCCACAGGAAAATAGCTATTTTTTTTATTTTTTTAAGAGAAAAGAACATTGCATCACTTCCATTAACTGGTCACAGCTAACTCAGAGAGAAGTCAGAGAGGAGTGCTCGTGAGACTGTAACATATGAATACTGCATGATATGCTAGTGTAATCCCTTTTGAGGGCTTAACATAATGGGTTCCAAAATACTTGCAATTCTTCTACAATTTTGAGCCCCAATTTGAGTGCAGAAAAGTCGCTCAAGAAATAAAGCAAATCGTTACAGTCATGCATTTGGCATATACGCCTATAAAAGTACAACACAGTATATTTCAAGGTTTCAATCATTGAACTCAATCCTACTACCAGCTATGACGAATAAAATGTAGACACTAATTCTAAGCCTTCTTGTGGTTCAGTATGTTAAGTTGTGAATGCAAACTGTAAAATCTCATAGAGCAGTAACCACCTGATAGAACACCTTCTAGGACTGATAAAAAGAACTGTCCTGCACAATGGGCATCTGTTGCCTGACAAATAGGACCAGGATCAATAAAGTATAGAATATGTGGGTTCCTAAGGAAAGTAAAATTGCAAGCACTAACCATGATCCATTGACTGAAATAGACATGAGTGGCAAAAAGAATGTCCGCAAGGGGTTGTAACAGGTTCGTATAACAACTTCAGGCAAACAGTGCAATCAAAGTCATCAGTGCGCTCTGGTTGTCCATGACTAGTCATCCCAGGCTGTCCATGTCTATTCATATCCATCAAACTAGAAGATGCTACTTCCAAACTTTTAAGTGAAGATCGCAAGGAGTCGCTGAAATGAAAAATCATTTATAGATGAATTATGAGGCATAGTGCAGTAAAAGACTATTGCAAAAGTCCTACATTCTGCGTCTTCACCAATTTCCAAAAGGGAAATAAGTGACTAGAAACAGTACCTAAATGGATCAACTTGAAGGCCTGAAAGGATAGCATCTCTGGCTTTTTCATATTTCTCTAACTGTCAATATAAAACATGGTCATGTGCAAGTAAAATCAATGTTCACAGTCATGGCAAATAATAGGAAACAGAAGCAAGAGCATAGTCCCCCTATGTCGACATAAAATACAAGAAGTAATACGGCGGCAGAATACTATTACCAAACACATGGTGAAATAATCTTTTAGTACCATAAAAGTTACAATACTACACAAAGAAAGGTCCCAAGACATCTGGCTTAACGCAATCTTCTAAGGTTAAGCAAATTCTGTATAAAGTAACTGTAAAATGCCCCAAAAAATAACAAAATCACCTACTATCTTAATATTATTATTCACTATAATAACCTGCAATGACTGCAGCATTTTCTCCGTTGCCGCCTATTCATATTATTCGTAAATCACCAAAGCAGCATTTGTGTCTAATTCTACAATTCCAATCCATCCAAGAGCAACTTAAATAGCTAAAGACCCTCAGTAGGGTAAATACCACGTCAACTAGAGACACAGTTTACGAAACTGCTTTGCAAAAGCCCATTAGCTTCAAATGGAAAAAGCAAGTAATCACTTGCACATCTGACATACTTCTCAATAGAGAACACATACACAAATAAAATAAAGGTCCCAGGAGTACAATTGACACTAACCATATAGGAAATCTTACCAGAAAAAGCGCATTAGCCTTTAAGAGGTACGATCTTACTGAATTACTTAGAAGGTCCACAAGCTGCTCAGCATCCTTCAAACCAAGCTGAAATTATAATCAAATTTCAATTTATTAAATATCAACTGATTCAGACAGAAGGCGAATTTTTAACCGTGACATGATGATACAGAGAACATACTTCAGCATGTATTGTGGGATCAAGCCCACTCAATGGTTTATATTCTGAAGCTGATGGAGATCTGTCTTTTAAGAATTTGCTAATCCTGGTTAAAATATATTCTGATTGTCATGACATCACCAAAGTTCACAAATTTAAAGCAATACTATTCAGATATACAAGTAAGTTTTAATAAGTAGTTTCAAACAATTATTGTTGAACCATGCTTAACCTAAGATAAGCTGCACATCGGTTGCCAAGGATAACAGGATCTCCAGGTTTGATGCTATTTGCTCTTGAGTAAAAGTTGATTGCCTGTATTATTAATCTCAAATGTCATCACAAGAATGATATGCTATCGTGCATTAAAATATTATCCATAACATTGATTACAGATGCCTAATGTTCCACTAGTAGACTGGTGGAGCATGAGAGCTGCATTCTCTTCCAAGTGTGATAAAGTGAAACATTATGGTAAGAAAGCAAGACAGAAATGCCCAAAAGATAAGACCAGAAAAATGTCACACAATTATAGACCATCACATAATAATTAAATTAATGAAAGTCGATCCCCATATATTGATAGGCGGCATTTGGAACAACCATGCACAATGGAACAAAAGTAACGCTGACAACCTGAAATTAAAATTTTATATCACCTCTTCCAACCGATTCTCCCGAAATGACATGTTTCCATTATGCACAAGTTCAAAGATATGGTGGTATGTGTCCCACGCCAAACCTTCTTGTTCATGTGCCTGCAATCCAAGCAAAATGCAGCCATTACATTAATACGTTAAGCTCTCAATAGAAATGCAGATTTGTTGAGACCATAAATTCAAAAAAAATCCATTTTGAATATTGACGGGGAAGCAGACATACTTGCAGGGTGTTTTGAAAGATAATCAAGATTAAAAATGAACCACTCAAGACTCAATCTTTCCTGAAAGAACAGCTGCACTAAAGCTTATGTAAAATAAAGAAGAATTTCTTTTTTTTGCTTGCTCGGTGAACAGGGAATATTCTCAATTTCTCTATTTTCATAAGGAAAATAAACAGAGACAGAGCAATAAACATTCTTGAGTCAGAAAAACAAGTCACTAAATAAGCATATGCAAATATAGTCTTTTAATTTTGAAGCAGCATGTCTATAGAACTATCAGCCCTTGTGCAGGAAAACAGCTCAGAAATATATGATCATGGTTCTCATCGTCTTTTCTTGTCCTCCGACTTCTCACCAGCGAGAAAGCAGTCGAAGGGAAAAATGAAAGAAAGCCAACAAGAGAAATTGTCTTTTCGTATATTCTTCATAGCAACCAGACGCAGTACACAAAAGAAGGCAATCAAAAGAGACAGAAAGAAACATCTGAGCACAGCCATCAATCATAACTGATACTAGACTTAATGGTATTCAATCGGTAGCTTTGATTTTCCAGTAATCTGAAAAATTCAGCAGCCCAAACAGACATTTGATCAGTTGAAGTACAACTCTTCAAAGGCGAAGAAAAGGGAGAAATCCACATTTTCAAATTCATTTCTTGCAACCATAATTCGCTTCTTCCAGTTACTGCTAAAATATCACAATTCAACACCCCGAGAGCCAAAAAAAAGGCAGCGGATAAGAGAGGATAATATAATTACTACATAATACAACTTAATTCCCAATAGTATGAATGCCCGTCCATTTATTCTGTCAGTTGCATTTTCCGGGCAACCAAACAAGTGAAAAGAAAAGGAACTAACCCAAACGTAGTTGTCGACGTCATCAAGACCGTCCATGGTAAGCACGACTGAAGAAGAAGGAGATTCTCCCGCCATGGAAAGCAGAAAGGAGTAGACTTTATAGTCGATGTTTTTCAGTAGCAAGAATGAGAAATAGAAGCGTTTGGCATAGAGGAGGAAACAGGAGTATCGTGGTCGCTTCTGCGTCCTTCGTTTCATACACGGACTAAATTTATATTACGTATTCCTTCACTCACACTCTCGCTTTCTCTCTCCGCCCAATCACTTTTGACCCTTTTCCTATGATTGATAATTACAGGCCACAAAGGGTTTACCTTAAGAAGCAAACGAATAATATTAATGTCAACTGTCAATGCGCTTTGATATTGTTAATTTATTGACATAAACAAGCATTGCGACCATATTAACAATAAAAATAACCTTGTTACGTATGGATTAAACAAAATGAGTAAAGGTGCTGGTAAAAAAAAAAAAAAAGAGTAAAGGGAAAGAAGTCAAGAAGAAGGGAGAGATATTATACTAAGTTATGGGAAGAAAAAGATGGGGTGATGAGAAAATATTGGAATAGGAAGTGGTTGAGCAGGATCCAGCGAAAAGGAGGTAAATTAAATTAAAATAGTGAAACGCCGTCTTAGATTCTGTTTGACTTTTGAAAGGCAACCGTCGGGCAAGATGATAGTCAGACTCCGACAAACACCATCCGACAAGTTTGCTATATCTCCTGAGTCCACTCAGGGATCGTGGAGGCCTTACGCCTTATGACCGTATTAATTCTTGAGGTCTGATATATATAGAGATACATAGACATATATACAACAAGTACCATGTTGTCTCTACTTTTGGGTAGGAACGCATGGTGTTTATAGATGAAGGACCAGTGCATTAGGGCGGATATATTTTCATAGGTACAAGTGTTGTCGTCCTACCCTCTGGCTCCCTCCCAGTCTGCCACTGGGCAATCCAATGGGGATGAAACTTGATGCTTTCATTGCCAACTTTCAAAAATTGATAAATCCAATTATGAACAAGAGATTATATTGAAGATAAAAAGTAATACAACATATATAAGAAGAAATATTATGCTGGAATCAAATTTTGTTCCTATTGGTTATTATTCTCAATTTCAACAGATTTGAGGATGGAATAAAATTTAAACAATTTAAATTATTAAAAAAACTTAATTCTATTCGACTAGAACACTTCCCAACGATTAGATCAAGAGTCAACGGAAAATAAAAAAATATTATTTATTAATTTATATGATTTATTTCTTATATAAAAATATAATAATGATTCTCTTATAGTTAAAATTGCAACAACAAAAAAAAGTTCCAAAAGGCTCTAATAATAATTTTGGTTGATTTATAGGGACATAGTTATTAAATCCTTGTGTCTCTGTCTGCTTGTAACTATTTGGGTGCTTTGGTTGCTTTGCCAATTTCATACAAATTATTGTACAGTTTTTAAACTCATTTCTCACACCAACAAACCAGACAAGCCAATGCTTTTTGCCATAATTGAATTAAGGGTCCGTTGTAAAATATTTGCTTGTTTTAAATATTAAACGAGGGTATTATTTTCCTTATGCATTTATTCATAGTAAATGTTCAAAGTGTAATAATAACGTATTCTCAACATATTGGCAAGTGGCAAATATGAATTTTATGTGATCTCAGGCCCTAAAAGATCTGATTTGTGTTTACAAGTTAAAAAAGTTGCTAGAAAAATTGAACCAGAGCGACTCAGAATTCACACACACGCAGAGATATATTTTAAAAAAATGACGGAGCATGTCTAACTAGTATTTATAGTTTGATATAGCTTTGAAGTAATTAAGTAAAACCTGTGAATAAATGATGGAGGCTTGACAAGTGAGCAAATGAAAATTATTAATATTAATGTAAAGTGCATCTCTCATGGGAACTAATGAAAGCGAACAAGTGCTCATTATTTAGCGTCGTAGGTGACCCGATTGTGTTGATCGTCTTGTTCCCATTTGGCAGCCGAATTTATGATCCCATTAGTGGCGAAGGAATCTGTCGGACTCGGATTAAGCCGTTTGGATCTCCATTCTTTATCTTATCTGTCGCGTGGAATCAAATCGATTTTCTTTCTTTCTAGCAAAAAGTGTGGTGTGGAATCAAATCTCATCCCTCGATTTTGTGTCCATCTTGTCATAACTCATGTACTCTTTGTATTTTCCAGAGTTTGAACTCGCGACTGGGCGTTCAAGAAATATTTTAAGGAAGGCATTTGGAGTCATTAAGCTACATATTCCTGATCGACTTTATGCACACTTTGATTCCTTCTGATACAAACCACTTTTCTCTCTTAATAACAAGTTGTCCAAATCACAGCAGCACCTACCATGTTTGAATAAAATCATGACTTTAACATGTTTAAGGGTAATTAAAAAAAACAATTGCCTCTCTCAAATAATCCTCTACTCCTAGAAACTTAAATCCCTTGTGCATGTCTTTTCCAGATCGTGCTGGAATTCACTGATTGATTAAGGCCTAGAAGCGCCGCCATGAAATCTTTCTTTTGTTTTCTTGGACTTTGTAGTTTGTACATGCTTATTTTAACCACTAGATTGGCGATTAAATCAGGTAATTCATGAATAGTCAAATTTATCAGAGGTTAGTAATTTTGCGAAGTGATTTGAGAATGCCGAAAGTGATGAATGACATCGATGAAGAATAGGTTGACTACCCTCTAAGATGATCTCCTGTGTGTTTGACAATTTTGCCAACTGTCTAAAACTGAACAAATAATCCACATCAAATCGTCCCTTGATTCGTTTGGGAATCTACGAAGATTCTCTTACCATTTTACACTGCGGGGTCCATTGACCAATGCCAAGCATGGAACACTAATGGTGACGGCCCATTAGTCGCCTGCTTCATGGTCGCATTGAGCCCATTTCTCTTTCTCAAGGCCCCCCCCCATAAAAAAAACGGCAATATAACAGTACCAAGAAAATTTCACCAAAAGATAGAAATAGTATGCTGATTGAAAGGGGTTGGAAAATACAACTCAACAAGAAAATCGAGAAGGAATTAGAAGAGCATACTTCACGGTGAAAGCTTCTTCAACAGTCCCTTAACGCTTCTTGTCACTTTTCAGTAATGAGGCATATATGCAGAAATTCAGAAATGCTTTAGTTTCTTTTCTTGTTGAATAATACGAAAGCTATTCCACATAAGGAAAAAATATGCAGACTCCGAAATCCATGGAATTCCTTATCATGTAAAGAACCAAGCTACCCAGTACCATATTGCTGTAATTGTCACAAATCATAATAGCATGCTTTTAAACAAGACTCCGGTGCAATTAATAGATGTTGCTGCGCATATAAGGATTGACTTAAATGACAAGGTCGAGTTGTGTTGACTGAAAGCTTTCCAAGTGGATTCTCATCTGTAAAATATAGTTGATAATCATCCATCAATAGCAATATGCTTTACTTTAATCCTTAAAGGCTTAAAGCAACCTGTGTGTCTCTTGCAACCTTTTTTTTTTTTTTGGTCAGCCCAGTGAAAGTACATCCCTGTCAAGGTCCAAGTGGTAGGGCCGACTTCAAAAGTGAATACTAACGCCTGCATACTGACAGCTTGAAAACAAAAACATTCTCTTTGCTCTCTTGGAAACATCAGTTTTTGGTGTGCCACACTCAAATATGACACCAATGATAAAGGGAAAGCAGTACTGAACTCATACAATGTCAGAACAAAAATTCAAGCGGAAGCATCATAATTTCATGAATTCATGCCCCAGAAGGGAATACAATGGAATCTCAGTATACATGATATCAGTAAATATAATTTGCTTACTGATTAATCACTCAGACATGGCAGGAATGAATTCTATCCTGGCCTTTCTCAAAGAAGCAAGACAATAACACAAATAAACTTACATGTGAACTTTCACCAAATCACTTCAAATTATTGCCTATAATATCCCCTTGAACGTGTCTTCCTTCCCTCTAGCTTCTGGATTCACTAACTTGAGAATGTCTTCGTATATCAAACTGGTCCACAAACTCCAAAGGAGTAGCTGTTTCATTTCTGACTCTCTTGATTTTAGGACTCAATAGACCACGATGCCTAAATCCATAGAGCCTAAGCACCTGGTTATCTGCAAAATTGAAAGCTCTCTCCATGCTACTGAGGCACCTCTCAACTGGATAATCTCCATAGCTTCCACAAGGCTTGCAACCCACAAAATGTGTCACAAACGGCCACCTCTCATCACCTAAACCTGGGTGATACTTCTCAACCATCTCTTCATATCGATCGACCAAACCAGCCCAGTAACCGTGCAAATAGTAAGAATTCTCGAGAAACACCTTATCCATCCATTGATCCTTCTTTGAAAGCAACAAATATATCAAGGCTGATTGATCATCTGCCTCAAATGCAGGTCTTCCCTTTAGATTTGCAGTCAATATTTTCCCTGCCTCTTCACGAATGGGACCCTTCGGACCCATGGGGGCCCAATCATCAAGCAAATCCAAAGACCACTGGCAATTACGAAACAGAAAGCTACCTGTATTCACAGCAATCCAAGACTTTTGCTCGAATAACAGATCAGGGTAACCATGAAGAACCAAGTTATACTTGTCATACTTGGACAATGGAAGCTCAAAAACCATATCGGTAAAGAAAGCATCGCTATCCATCCACCAAATCCACTCCACCTCCGGATGCGACAACATCAACCGCCGTATCATAGGCAATTTTGCCCAATACCCAGCAAGTTCCTTATCCAAATGAGCCATATTATACACGATTTCAATCCCGTGTAATCTACAGTAGTCAATCTTGTTCTTTATCGACTTCAATAAATAATGATCCCCAATCGGGTTATCACAAGGCTTTGGTGGCGAACCAGATAGGAGTAGGATTCGAGCTTTACCTTTGATATAATTAGGGTACTCGGGGTTCTGATCCAACCAAGCCTTCCGCTCCTTGTCCCAATTCGATATCTTCGGCCCAAGAGTGAATGTGATATTGGGATTCAGCTCGGTCTCGGCAGGTTCGTCCGGATCAGAGGGATCACTGTCGGATCTGATCTCAGCGAGGATCCGATTGGTCTCCTCGATGAGATTCTGGTTAACAGCATCTGCGTCCGAGCCACCAAAATTAATCCCAACGGTGCCGCGAAGGACCAGGATGGTAATGAAGCCACACATGATGGTGATCTTGATGTTGTTAAAGGTCTTGTGGATCTGCCGGCCACGCGGTAAGCCGGAAAGCCCACGGCCTCTTCCATTAGGGACGGTGGAAGTGGGCAATCCACCTCCACTGCCCCTCTTCTGCGCCGATGGATTCTCGTGCCCCATCTCTCTCTCACGCACACACAATTCCCCTGTGTGAGCGTTAACTAACAAGAACTGTCAAACAAGGCAAATATACAACTCGCAGCAGCCAAAAGCAACCTTCGCCTCAAATTTCAAGAATTATGTGAAGGGGCAGCAACAAAATGTATAATTTTTCGGGAACGAATTAGAAATGTCCTCTGTGAATATAATCTTTGGGAAGGTCAGATTAAGGTGAGGAAAGAAAATGAAGAGGAGGGAATCCTGGAAGAAGAAGAGGGAGGCAGTGACTTTGATAACGGAGGGAGAAGGAGAAGCAGATGCAGGGAGGGAGGGTTTAGAGTGTCGGGAAGCGAAGGGTCGAGGAAGATGAGATCGACATGTGTCTGCCGCCGACTGCAACAGTGTTTTGAGGATTTAGAATTATTCATTTGTCCGATCTTTCATGATGTCACGTCCGGGGCCTCCGATCTGAATCTGATCACCCTCATTTGTGTTCTTCTGCCATTCCGCTTCAATCTTGCAGATTTTAAAATACGAAGTATTTAATTAATTTAGATATATTAAAAATTAATTAATTAATTATAATAAATATAATATGACCTCCTTAAAATTATATAAATAAATTGGATAAATTAGTTTTAAAAAAATAGATATGAGAAATAAAATGCTTTTGAGTTTTATATTTAGAATTAAATATAACCTCATAATTTTAACTAGCTTCTGTATTAACAATTTAATATATGGGAAAGTGTAGCGTGCAAAGAAAATCAAGAAAATTTAACAAAAATTTAACATGAATACACACATTAGTAATTAGTTGTCTTGTCGGTATGAACATTTTCAATTAAAACACGACAAGCGTATCCTAATGTTAAAATATACTACAGACCTTTTATACTAATGTAATGTCAATGATATAACAACTTGAAATATAAGTCAATCTTCTTGGTTTAAGAAGAGACAGGAAAATCAATTAGTATTTTGGTAGGTACGACTTTAATTAAAGTTAGACATGTAAGAATGAGTTTTTTTTTTTTAATTGCTGGGCTTAATCCAAAAAAATGATCCATCGTTTTGAAGAGTTAATATAAAATAAGTAAAATAGAATGATAAGCAAATGTATGAGTTGAAACAACTGGGAACAAAAGGTTAAAGGTGGGGACAGCTAAAGAAGAGGTTGATTGTGAAGTATATAGAATATTAGTGTGAAGTTAATGGACAGCTTGCAGTGAGCGATCTGCTAAACTGTCGGGCACTTCGCTGATTGCGCTGCAACTACCATACACGTTGGGCTTCGTCTTCAAGTTTCCCACTTGACCTGTTAAACGCGTTCCTCCTTCCTTCTGTTCCTTGTCCTCTCCCATTGTCTGTGATCTTTTTTGAGGTATCCAGTTAATACAAACATAAAATGATATAACAAAATTTAGGTCAAGTCTATTAAACTATCCCCTCAATTTTTGGTTGAAAAAAATAAGATAAAACATATGGGCGTGGCAGGATTTAATTGGAATGATCGACGTGATAATTTTAGTTACTTTTGTCTCAACAATATTACCTCTAGATTTGATTTTGATTGTTGGAAGAAGTAATAAATTGTGATGTTAATACGTTATAAATATTATTAGGGTTAAAATATATCTAGTATCTTAAAATATTCTGTGGTGCATTTGGCACTCTGAATTATTTTTTTTAGCACCCCGGAATATTTTGTGTTGCATTCAACATTTTAAAATTTTTTTTAAGTATGTCTAATACTATAAAATATTTTTTTGTGCATAACAACCAAGGCAGAGAAATATTTTAGAATGTAGAATGCATCTGAAAAATATTTTAAAATGGTGAATACGTTGAAAAAATATTTCAAAATATTAGATACCTTATTACTCCCTCCGTTCCTTATTATAAGAGACATTTGATGCTTATAGCATGTTCCTATATATAAGAGACACTTACAAGTTGTCTCTACTTTTTTGTGTTGATTTACTATTTTACCCATATTTATTATCTCCAACTCACACTCTCTCTCCCTCCAACTTCTCTTTCTTTTAATAATTTAATTGTTCTCTCTCATGCTCTCTCTCCTTATTAATGAGGGCGTTTTTGGAAAAAAATTATACTTTTTACACATTAATTGTTTTTAACTAATTTTAACTGTTTTTTTGATCAACGTACTTCGGTTATTTGTCTCTTATAATAAGGAACGGAGGGAGTATTATTATTATACGGGACGTACGCATGTGACGTACACGTGGTGTGCCGCTTGTTTAAGGATCAAGATTGAAGAATGAGGCAGTCATAAAGAGAGAGGCCAGGCGACTATTATTGAGGTGGGCCCACTTCATCAAAACCCAACTAATGCCTCTACTAGGCCCATTATGGGATGGAATCTGATGAGAATTAGCATCCATCTATTATTAAAAAAAAAATCCATCTGCCTTGCACGTGCCTCTTCATAAGCAGCAAGCCCCTCTATAACCGCCAATAACCACCATCTCTTCACAATAATTGTGGGTTGGCCCAATGCTCCAACCAGGAGTGCCGTTCCTCAGTGATCGATTACCACGATGAAACGGAGGACATGATTGCTTCTTTAATAAATATGTATTGTCTCAGATTAAAATTATGCAGTATTATTGTTCAAGTGGCTCTTTATAAATGCATAAATAATATCTAATTATAATATTCATGCATAATATATTTTTTTGACCCAATTCATGCATAATATATTTAAAACATTGGACTTATAAAATTTATTAAAAAAAACTAAAATATACATTTAGTTCTCTAATTTTATAGAGAGTTTTAATTTGATCCTTTAGCTTTAAAAAATATACTTTTTAGTCTTTTAACCCTAAAATTATCAATAAAAAATGATGACATTAAATATTAAATGTTGATAAAATATTATCAAATATTAACATATTAAGCTTAATTTTTAAAACAGCAATAATTGTTACAAAAAAAAAGCATCATTTAAGCCCAATGCTTTTAGGATTAAAAAACTAAATGTATACTTTTTAGAGTTAAGTGATCAGGTTGAAACCTTACACAAAATTAAAGGACTAAATGTATACTTTAGTCAAAAATAAAAACATCTTTTCCATAACTAGTCCACTTATGTCTCACAATACTCAACCTTAGGATATTAGATACCACCCATATGCTTAATATAATTAACTAGTTAATTAATTTAAATTATCTTGGGATTAAAAAATTATTTCAATTAACTTTAGGTTTTTAATATGCCCTGAATAAATAAGTATTTATTTTTTAAAATATTCTTTTAATCAAGTGTATTAGCTATAATACAAGGACTATTTAGAAAAATAAATAAATATAGAAGACAAAATGGATTGAGATTTTATATTTAAACTAACTTGAAAGTCATGTTATTGGAGGTAGTATCAGATAAGTATTTTGAAAAAACGAGAATAACACACACTTTATAAATAATATATATATATATATATTATATATCGATTATTGATAATTGAGGGCAACGGCATAAACGTCCTACCAGAAAATGGCGGGGTGGCGTGCATGGGTAAATTATGGCAAAGTCGGGTGTACCCAATCCCAACCTCCTCCTCATTTTTTATTACATCCGTTGCATTTTGGACCAGAGATCGGTCGGCTTCCCCTCCTCCTCTCCAATCAGTCTCCGGCCACTCCTCATCCGCATTAAACTTCTTCAATTCCAATTCTCCGATCAACATCCGGTACATTCTTTTACCTCTCTATCGCGTGAATAACTCCATATGCTTATCCATGAATATTACAAAGAATTTGTTATCATAAATAGTACTCAATATTTTCTTAGATTCATTTCACATCTGAAAAGGCTTAGGCTTAGGCTTAGGCTTAACAGTTGTACATACGGTTTCCTATCAGTCTTTCTTTTACTTCTGTTAAGATGAGCCTCCGAAGTAATTGGGATTGTTCCAATTTGATTGTTTAGTATAGGCGATTGAGAAATAACGAACGATGAGTCAGGTATTCGAAGGGTACGAGCGTCAATACTGTGAACTATCGGCTAATCTTTCCCGGAAATGCACGGCAGCGTCTGCCCTTAATGGAGGTAGTTAGATGGTTTATATACAGTCTGCCTCTCATTCTTTGTTTATTTGGAATGTGTGGTTCTTCTGTTTTGAACTTTGTTGACTTTAATTGTTTGACGTGGATTTTACAATTGAGAAACGATGAGCAAAAAGAATGAAACGGTGCTAATCGTCAGATTCAATGCAAGGTTGGCCGAATGGTTATATATTACCACCGAACACTCTGCTAGAGAAAGTGAGAGAGCATTACATTTTCAGGAAGAGTTGTATTTTCTTGTGGAAAAAGTAATTCCCTTTCTAGGGTCGTTTTAGGAAAGGAAATAGCATTAGAAATCAATTATTCGATATTCCCTTCTAATGACTTGCCACTTTGTGCAGCAGAGCAGAAGAAGCAGAAACTTTCTGACATCAAAGATGAACTTGATGAAGCTGACACATTGGTATATAGGACTTCTTCTTCTGCCTCTAGTTTTATTATTTGACTGCATTTTAATCCCTGTTTGAATATCTTCAGATTCGGAAAATGGACCTTGAGGCCAGGAGCTTACAGCCAAATATAAAGGCAACCCTTCTTGCCAAGTTAAGGGAATATAAAACTGATCTGAACACTTTGAAAAATGAAGTTAAGAGAATCTCATCGACTAATACCAACCTTGCGGCACGAGATGAGTTGCTGGAGTCAGGAGATGCTGATGCATTAATGGTATCTTTTTTCTCCATTGCCTCAATAATATAAGGTGCAGTTGCCATTCTGTTTTAACTGTGAGCCTAGATTAATATGGTATGTAAGAAGGTAGATGTTTCGGAAATCTGAAACTAGAATTAGCTGATCATTTTTATTGCTGCAAGTGCCCATTTGCAGTAAAAAAATGAATTGTCTACAGGCCAAGATAGGCCAGTGTATGGACCTCGTAGCCAGTAATGCGAGGTACTTACTCGATACATTCAAAAACAGTCAAATAAGAGGAAGTCGGGGAATTTAATGCTTTAATAGGTATTTTCTATTTGAACTTTGGGCGAATAGATGGAGGGAATATTTTAGTTCATGTGTCAATGCATTATGCATCCTTATGGACCACTTTGGGATGATATAGGTATCAAATGATCAAAAAGGAAGACTGTTGATGTCAACTGAGAGGTTAAACCAGTCCGCTGACAGAATAAAAGCCAGTAGAAAAACAATGCTGGAGACCGAGGAGCTTGGAGTCTCTATCCTCCAAGACCTGCATCAACAACGCCAATCCCTACTCCATGCCCATCAAACGGTGAGTCTGACCAATGAGTTTTTCACCCTGTAATCTATTAGTTTTCTCATACAATGATTTGGTATTGATGGTAAGGAATCCCACCCAACTGGAATATCCGGAGTATATTGGCGATTTCATTAGGTTGTCCATGATAGATTTCTTCTTTTTTCTTTTCCTTTTTTTTTTTTTTTTAATCTCTGCAGCTCCATGGGGTGGATGATAACATCAGCAAAAGCAAGAAGATTTTGTCATCAATGTCAAAAAGAATGAGCAGGAATAAATGGATTGTTGGCTCCTTTATCATAGCTGTGGTCCTAGCAATTCTATTGATCTTATATTTTAAGCTGACTCGCTAGCCTGCTCTCCTTGTTTTCCGGCAACACTACGCGTCACACTTAGTCATCTCTCATCTCAGTCTCCTGCGTTTCGGAAATACTACCTTAAGTTCGTCGTTGGCAATAGCTGTCTTTTATTTTCCTTCTATAACGTGTACCAATTTTCAAGCTATGAAATAATTCTCGTGTCCAGTTTCTTCGCTCACTTTTTGCCCCAGATTTCTATAATTTTTGTCGTTAAAAATAACAAAGGAATCATCAGAACTTTGGGTTTGATAATATAACCTTTAAGCATAAACTGACAAGTTTATCCATCATTACTCGACAGTCTGTATGGCGGCAGATATTGAGGATCAAGTTTATATATCTATATATCTATATCTATATTAGCTAGCGAACTTTATATATATTCTTTATAAATCAAGAACAATATGGCTGATCTGAAAATTCAAACAAAACATAAGTTCACATTCTTTTATAGTACTAATTCTAATATGAAAAGCCAATTGATTAATTTGAATAGATTAAGAAAATTAGTTAAATTAGTTATTTGTAATAAATAAGTATTGACTTCCCTATCATATCCTTTTTAATCATATGTATTGACTAAAATTATTATTTGATGGAACTTTTGACATGTACAACTACTACAAAGATTACCCTGAAAAATAAATAAATAAATATGAAAGACAAAATAGATTGAGGCTTTATATTTAGAACTACATTAAATGTCAAACTAGTTTTTTTATTAAGGATCGGAGATAATACAATTTTATGATTCATTTCCCTAGCAATAGAATTCAACTCAGGGAATGAATGTTCTCCGCATTATATCATTTGAAGTATAATCTGCAACAATAATACATTATCCATGGAAAAAAAAAATTACACAAAGGAATAAGATGCATGGAATTTTTTTCCTCCCTCTTTCAAGTTTCAATCGGCATATTTTCTCCCATTTCCCTCTAAATCTACATATTACACTAATTAAATACGGAACTAAATCCTTGAAATGTTCATAATTGATCCTTTGCAATACGTAAAACCTCAGTAAATCCACTCAATTTTGTATTCCACGATCTCAAAGTTATTATAGTTTCATGTGAAAAAAATAAATCCAAGAAGCAGTGATTGCGTATATTCTCTATCATCCAGGATTTATTTATGAAGTAAATCCTTACACCTTTCAGGATATTTCACGCCAATGGTAAAATTAGTTAAAATAACTAGTAAACATAAAGATACAACTTCCAAGCTAAGTAAACAACGAAATCCTGATCTTCGACTTTTCCCTAAAATCTATAGCAATGAGTCCACTCAGCAGACACTGAACCCTGAGTTCCATCTTTCGAAGTTTACCTGGCAAGGAGACATGGATGGGAAAGACTTCGGACAACTGTCCCCCCCCCCCCCCCCCTCCTGACGGTAAATTCTTGGGCAACAAAACTAATTTCTCCGAAAATTCTTTATGTATTATACATTTCTCCATAAACATAAGTAAGCACAAGCTGCATCTAACAGTTTCAATTAAACACAAATATGATATTTTCAACCATATTCCGCACAACGAAGAGCACAAGTAGGATGCCTTTTGGGTCAGTACCAGGCAAGAATTTGTCTAGGCTCCAAATAAAGAGGGCGCAGATTGGATTAGCGTCATTGACACAGATGCCCATGCTCAGCATGCTGAGGCAAGTCTTCTTCAAGCACGGAAAAAAGGCAGGTCCTTCACTGACTCTACGTTGGATTTCAAATATTATGTCCTCCTGCAAAGCAGAACATGGATATTCTTAAGCATCCTCAGGAGAGGAATCTGGCGCTGCATGATCCTCTTCATCTTCATCATCATCCTCATCGTAGTCGGTGGAAACAGGTTGGCCATTAAGATCTACATTTACGCCATTCAACTTTCTAACAAATTGTCCTCTTACCCGTGGCCGTCGTTCAGCAAGTCGTTTCCTATTGACGTATCTGATTTTCTTATCAAAGCAGCGCTCTTTCCTTTTCTGCCTAAACTTCATCAATGCCGCTTCTCTTCTATCAACTTTACTTATTTTGACTTCAGATGAGCTCGGACTACCAAATGATGGCCATGAATGAACAGAAGACATCTGTCCAGGCGGTAAGCATATACCCATTGGGTAATATGGGAAGGATGTCATGCCCGTTGTATGAGGAGGGCATTGTGAAAGATGATTGTATTGTGGAATGACAGCTGTACCAGCATGGGCTTGCAGGTCCTGGAGATTCTTCTGGTACAATTGTGCTGAAGATGGCATCATAATGGGATTAACAACCCCTGAAATATAATATGGATAATGATGTTGGCCAGGCATGCCGGATACTTCAAGTTCAGAATTATGAGTTCCATTTCTTGGATGGATCATACCCTGAGTCAAAGCTTCTTCCATGAAGTGTTTTTGCTGCGAAGTCTCCATTGATGCAGGAGGAGTAGAAGACCTTTCAATGGAGAAAGAATCTGGGATGCTATTACTGCTGGGCAAGTCATCCTGTGAATGGCTTTCACATGTCTCTCCATTTTCATGTATTTGAAGATCATTAGCCCCTTGTTGAGTGCATGCTTGATGTGTATCTTCCATCCTCAAATGTGTAGCAGCCCCACGATCGACATAGACTGGTGGGGAGTTGCTCTTCATTGCGGCTGCTTTAACGTAAGTGAAGAAGGCTGATGACTCCCCAATCTTAAGTTCACTCTTCTTGGGACCAGCCGAAAAATGTCCTACAAAAATATGGCAAAATCAGCAAGAAAAAAAATACAAATAAAGAGGGGTACTCATATCAGTATTCATTCGAACAAAACACCTTACTTTCACAACCAGGAAAAAAAAAAAAAAGAATAAAAGAGACTTTGAAGCTTAGGAAAGCGGAGCTCTTGTATTTAGAACAATTTTGTAAGTTAATATGAGTGATTATGTCCCCATGGTGAGAAAACCCATAATTATTTTGGCAAAATTTTAACGAAGACTACACACACCAGTTCGGCGATCACTAATCCCAGGAACTTCAGGGCGATATTTTGATGCTCGAGCATTTGGAGGCTCCTCAACAACTAAAGCAGCAGAGGCAACAGCAACAGTCGACTGAAAAGGGAAATCAAATAAGTTAATTATCATATAACATGCCATTATCACGTTCTGGTTTCTGATTCGTACAGCAGTGATTTGTCACTTTACAAACACCATTGAGTTGATACCTAAAATAATGGTAGCTTAGACGTAAAAGTATTACTTGGTAGCGTCCAAATGAATAATAAGTTACTTCTGACATGGTAAAGGATTTGCTTCGAAAATGAGCTACAGGTTATTAGCAATTGCTTAACATATTACTGAACTTTCACCTTTTAGGGTTCATAATGCAATCTCCATTGGCTAGAATGTCCTTTACAAACATGAGTATTATTTTATCTGGGGGATCTAATTATTAAATTGATTATTGCCATTGACAAAATCAGTAACTTCTCATGGTTTATATTTTTTTCTAAAGAATTCTTGCAAGAGAGATATTAAGGTGGAAGATCTCTCTTTGTCCAAAAAGGAGGGAAAACGGTAGAAGATCCCTTACTTTGGGCTAAATCGTCAGCTTTGCATGCGGAAGAAAACATGGAAACCAGTCAGCCTCAAAGTTTCTGTCATGAAGAGTATAACAACGTGCAAAGTAACCAAAGTACATAGAAAAGAAAGATTTGATTTCTTCATATGATCAATTCAATTTCAAAGTAACCAAGGGGCACGATCTCATTGATTCATGATGCACGTTATCTTACCACTTAGTTTCATTCTTCTTTTTCAGTTATAAAGGAGGCATAGGCCTTGGAAATAGGGAATGGGGAAGGGGACCACAAGTAAGAATCAAAAGGCTGAAGTCCGCACAGACTACTACGTAAGTTTTTCTGTAACAATCACCTCATGTTCCTGTTGGATAGGCATTCCAGTCTCAGGATTAGTGCTCCTTTTGGACTTGTCATCTGTATCATCTGAGAACAAGGTGGTGCTGTTTGTATTAGCGTCACTAGGATCTGATACAACCAGGTCGAAGTCATAGCTCAAGATGTTCTTCTCTACAAGTCCAAGCTGTCAGCATAGATTTAAAAACACATTTCAGTCTCGATTTTAGAAAATCTAGGCTGCATTGAGAAATACAGAGAAAAGCTTGTATGTAAAAGGAGAAACGCACATGCAAATTCAAACAGCAGAATCACGCTAGAGTAAGAGAGGAGAGGCCACCCTAACATTCTATACTCCAAGAATAGTCGTGTATGGATATCAAGTCTCCTGTTAAAGCAAGGTAAAATATTCTGATATGCCAACATTATTTAGAACTGATCTTTGCTCAAGGGCAATAGGCATAAGGTTCAAAGTTTCATGCACAAATTAAACCTTTCCTTTCCTTTTCCCCCCTCCTTTTTTCTTCTCCCTTTTAACTTGCGTAAAGTTGTAGTGAATTCAAGTGTGAAAATGCCAAGTCCAACATCACTAGTACTTGTCGACATATACTTTTCTAACACTTTACTTCCAGCAAAAACTCTGTTTGTAAACAGGACTTGTAAGCTGGTAATTAGCTTTCTTTTTTTCTTTTTTTAATACAAATTAGCATTTGACTTTAAGTGACTGGCAAAATCTTGAGCACCACCTACAGCCCCACACAAAATATGCCATATAGCTTGAGCTACCAAAACAAAATTGGTTCTATTAACCAACAGAGCCAACCAAAAACTTGCCAAAATACCAGTAAATCACTAAATACATGTTGTATTCACTTGAATAACGTTAAATCGTCTTACATTCTCAACTATATATGAAACAGTATACACTTAAAACACAGGCTCTGATTCAAGAGAGGTTTCAATCTTGGGCTTTCTAGGTTTAATTTTAATATTGTGGTGACTTTCATGGCACTGGAAAGTATGAAATTTAAGTATAACATGCTAGAAGTCAAGGGGAAAAAAAAAAGGTCGGTCTTGAGCAGCCATTTCATAGTTTCCAACAGTTGATTAATTATGGAGAGGAAAACAAAAACATTAGGATGCGAAAAAAATTAAACAGGGTACATCCATAGATATGGAGCTGTGCAATACAAACCATGCGCCTCCTTCTCCACATGTGTGTCCACAAATTTAATAGTTCATTAGTCCGTAAAGGCTTTACTAGATAGTCAGCTGCTCCGAGTTTTAAGCACTTAACAACAATGGATACCTCGTCTTGTGCCGACATCACTTATCAAAACAAAAGAAATTCAGAAATATTAATAAGGAACAAAATAAATTCTTCCTTTAATACAGTCTTACTGGTATTTTTAACAATCAAACTTACTTATAACAGGGATTCGGCGCAGCTCATTGTCTCGTGCGATGTACTTCAACAACTTCAAACCCTTCTTCATGGGGAGGTCAACTTCAGCAAGTATGATATCAATATCTTGCCCTTCTGCGTTCAATGCATCAATTACCTGTCTTGCTGACCTCACTGAAGTAACTGTAAATCATAAAAAGTTACAGTTCACAGATAATTCAAGAACAAGTCATGAATTGCGTAACCTTTAAATCAGAGAATCCAAACTATAACTCGCTGCGGTGTTCAGAATGCATTCTATTATAAGATGGCCACACTTGAAGGCATTTTGACAGATAAAAGTTTAAAGAGAGGCAGAAGTGAGGGAACACTCAAGGGCCCCTTCAGATGTTATGTATACACTTAGACTCTGATTTCAAGGAAATTGTGAGGAAAATTTCCACTATTCATGTTTTAAAAAGTTGCCACAGCAACTGCCCTTGTACCTGAATTTAGTCTTTTTGGCCAAGACAAAGAGCCAATCAACACTTCACCCGATTCGCAGAGTTTTAAGCGGATTTATCTCTTCAGATTTGTTGGGAGTTTCTTAAATGCCACAACTATATCAAATAATTCATAACATGATAAAAACTTTTTCAAACAAATCGACCCTTCAAAACTACCAGTTCAAATCATGTATTAGGTCATCTCCACAAAAATTCAACATAAACCCCAAAAAGGAAAAATTGAAAACCACACATATATATAGAAAATATCATCTTACCCTGATAAGAGCACTTCAAGAGAAGCGTAAACACCTCTTCCGAACTCTTGGCATCGTTGTCACATAACAAAATCCTGACTTTGCTTCTATCGATGAATCCATCGCCACACTTACTATTACTTCCAGCAACAACAACAGATTCTTTGTTCAAATTAAGTTCCTCAGTCTCCATAACACAAACTACAAGGAATCACCGAAATATCTCAAAGCAAGCCTCTAAATCCATCAACCAGGAAAATTCAAAGAACAAAAGCCCCCCGTGAAACGGAGCCTCCTGAACACCAAACGCAGTCACACGTGAATTTCATCATCGTCAAGCCTACAACCTTGATAAGCCAATACTAGAAAATATTATTCCCCCAGCCCCAATCAGGACTAGCACAAAAAATTGAATGAGCTCTGTTCAGCAAAATCATCGAATCAAAACTCATCCGCGGAAAGCTCCCCTATTCGCAAATATACCTAGCCTCAGCTATTATGTTCAACCGTTACCCATTAATGTTCGGGCACGAGCTGTAGAAATTCACTATATGACACCGAAGTACGAATGGGCAAGATCAAAACAGAGACTGGTCCCAGATGAATCAACCATCTGGATTTGGATAACAAGGAAGAGCGCGAGTCAGCAGACCCCAAAAAATCCGATCTTTTTCCACCCCACCGGTCGGCGACAAATGCAGAACTGGGAATGAGTGAAACTATGAAAGAGAACCAATTCAAGCTTTGAGCTTTTGGTCTTTGGATTGTAAAAAAAAAAAAAAAGTGCAATTAACAAAGACCAAGTGGGATGCTGGTGAAGACTAATGTGCGCCGGTGAAAGAGGAAGGGGCAAAGCAGCGGATGGGACATAGGCGGGGGAGGCGCAATGAACGCGGGGCGTAGGATAGCCAAAAAGATGACGTGGAAAGGCCAGAGGAGAGAGAAAAAAGTGCAATTGAAAAAGGGTGAGAGAGTGGGTGTGGGTGAGTGTGTGGATAGTTGGGTAGAGATAGAGAAGAGGCCACGTCGCTCCGAGATCTTCCTTTTTCAAGCTTCCTTAATTTCTATGACCAAAATATCCTCTTCACAGCAATTTCCACGATATTTTTCTGTGTATCCAATCATCTTTATTATAAATTTACGTGTAAAATATAACAACCATGATTATCAAATTATTTGATTCCAAAATATCTTTCTCACCCAGGTCCAAAATAGAAAATATCTTTCTCACCATTCCGTCCACGCGGGGTAAGGTACGATATAGGACCGACCGCCTAATTCATTTCATTAATCTTTTTCTTTTGTGTTTCATCTGATGAACTAATTAAAATTGTCTCAAAATCTCAAGACTAATGGAATCTAATCTAAGGATTCGCAGGGGAGAACGTGGGAGAAAAAATTGCTTAAAAAAGAATTAGTGGTATTCATCCTTAAGAAAGATTGTTTTATATTTCATAGACATGTCTGTCTTTGCCTTCTTGTTGCTTTTTGGCCTGAAGTGTCTTTCTCTTTCAAACATTCTTTTAGGAGCAGTGCTATATGCTGTATCGTGGATATATGTTGGAAGAGGCTTTTAATTATTTGTTTAAACGAGGGCGGTTTGGTCAGAAAAAGGAAAACGACGGTGAAGGATGCCAGACTTGTCTTGTTGATTAGTGAAACTTCCGAGTTATCCAAACATAGAATAAAATGGAGAAAAAGGACACAGCATCCATGAAGAATGGTTGGCTCACAAGCAAAACAATAGGAAAGGTATGGCCAACCAAGTTGTTAGGTTTATATTTCCGACAAAGGTTTCAGAACCCTCCAACTCTATCCCATGATTCTTTTTTCCTCTTTTTAAGATTCCAATAATACGTGACACGGATTCACAAAGCTCAAATCAAGGTTACAATGATATAGTGTATCAATACTAGTTAAGTCTAACTTATGCAATCGTATATTAAGCTTTCCGTACTTTGGTTTTATTTGGAAATTTAGTGTAAGGCATACAAGTATATTATCAAATTCGCATAGTACTAGTACAGAATTCCTTAAAAGGGGAAAAAACAAACAGAAGCAGCACATGTGGCCTGTGAGAGTAAATGTTATTATGACTAGAAGCTTGAACTTGTGAGAGAAGCAAATCTTCGTGTTAACAATTTCGATTCAAGAAGGCCCGTATCTGAGTCAGCAGTAACGGAAACTAAAAAAACAGCGGCAGAGGTCTTGAACATGCATTGAATTCCCATCTGACGTCTTTTTTTAATTTCTTATTCCCAGGGTCTCATATGTAATTCACAAATAGCGCCTCCCCACAAGAGAGAGCCCGTGTTAGCAGAATACTTGAAAATTTTCAAATAAATTGAAGCTCACAATGGAATCAACTTTACAACTTAACCAATATTCATTCTATCAATCCTAACTATATGAATTTGATAATAATTTATTATTTGTCTGCTAATTTGACATGTGTCACCTAGTCACCACTTATTCCTTCAACTTGCAATTAATGACCAATTTTTTAGCAATCAATCTAATCCCTGCGTTCTGATAATAGTCATATGTTTCTAAGGAGAAGACCGCATCAACAAATGCCCCAGCTTTGAACAAGGAGCCGAGCTCCTCCGCATCCAACTTACTGAAGAGCAGCCTTTGAACAGTGCCTGATGATTCTTTCTGGTATATTTCAGCTGCATATATGGCAACGTTCCCATATACAGCTGTAGGTATCCTATAATGTCAATATTTACAAAAATCAGTTTAATTCTCAGGAAGGGAAATTTCCAAAGGCTCAATATCTCGTAATACTACAATGTAATGTCAATCACGTGGAAGACTGAAAACCCAGCCCAAGACTAGTTGCTTGTTACCCATTATATTTGTTGAAGTGAAGACGTAATCTCTATTGATCAGAAAGAACAGATTTGTGTGTGTGTGTGATGCACGCATTTTATATGGGTAGGATATGAACTTACTGCAATCGCATAGTGGGATAATTGAAGAAGCCATCTTTTCTTGCAACAACTGGTCTCCAGTCAGAACTGCTACCGGATTCCAAAGATGACTTGTGTACAATACCGTCACAAGCTTCAAGAACCTCACATAGACGTTGTGATGGAGCAAGATCAACCACAAAACTCAACTTTGGTCGGCCTGCATGATCCTGAAACTTGCCGTTTACTCCAAACCGTATTTTTAGATCAGTACAGCAAAGCTGAAAGGGGGAACCTTTGTGCAATAGTTGTATCCTTTGACTGCCACGATAAAATGGAACAGGAGATGCTGTGAGACAAGAGATGGATATTTCATCAGGATTCAAAGCAGCAACAGCGCTGCTACATGCCTCAGACATCTGGGATGTCTCTGGAATGGGCTTTTCATCCACCATGACAGATGGTTGAATCGATTCCCTGTTTAATTCATCACGAAGCTGACTCAAGTCAAATCGACGCTCTTGAACTATTAGCATCTCCTGTATTTGATTCAGAGCTTTCTGAGCTGCTGGTTGCAATAGGAGAAGATGGATCATTTCCCTCTTTGCATTGATTCTCGACAGGTGATAATAACATGGATTTCACTTTCATATCTGATAAGGCCCTATCTGGTAAAGATTTTCCATTGCTACGACTTCTTGTAGTAGCATTTGGAGAAACCCACCTATCCACTGGGAAAATGTCTGGACGAACTGATTCCTGCATGGTTGGAGGAATTATGAAATAGAATCAGGACTCAACATTTGACGAGTCAAATTTCAATTCACAACTCCACGAATTGTACAAGAAAAGAATCATCACATTTAACTAGTCCAATTGACTCAATACAAGCCAATTATTATTAGTATCTAGCACTGGCTGCAAAATAAAACAATATGCTCCTGAAGAGTTTACCAAGAACAGATAGATCACAATGAAATTCTCCAAAGTAAAATTTTACCAAGAACCTAACAGCTGCACAGTGTTTGAGAACTTCCAGATTCATGCGAACATCATCTAAGCTCCTGAAGATTTGTAGCAGAAAAAGTAAGCAAAATGAAATTATGATAGCCGGCTTACAAGAAAGCGCTACATATAATTCCATTGATTGGTTTAGTTACCTATGGTTCTGTCGTCCAAGCCCAAAATACGTTGCAAGACTTGCCATCTGCAGTGAACATATGAATGCGTATAAACTTGAAGAATTAGGAAAAGCCAAAGAGATAATATCTGACAGAAGTTTATTCTTTGTATGGAAGTTATTAGAGAGCACATTTTAAAAAAAAAGAAAGATAATTCTGAAAAATAAAAAATCAGATAGATGATAGGCATGTCTAGAAAATCAGATGCATCCTCTAAGTGTGTTATGATGAACTTTTCCGAAGTGGAGTTTTTATTAGTCGTAGACATTCGTTCAGCAGAGGTAAACATAGCGTGCCATAAAATAAAGGAGCAGTACCTTCATGTCACCAGCTCTTCTTCCAAACTGGTGAGTCAACAAAACCAACGAATCAATGGTACCCTTCGGTTCCGGTGGTGGCCGATTAATCTCAGTAAATGCATCTCTGACGCGAACACAGTCAAATCTTAAGATGTTATGGCCGGCCCAAATCCGTTCTACACAAAATTCAGAGAAAACAAAAAAAGAAAGAAAAAATTAAGAATTATAACCGCAATTTGCCGCCTAATCTATAGTTTTTTTTTTTTCCATTTTTCTCAATCACAAAGCAAAAGAAACAAACAGAAGGGACAAACCATGAAGAAGCTCGTAAACATCATTGGCGATGTCAGCGAAAGTAGGCGCTGAGGCAACAGCATCACGAGTAATGCCGTTGCAGCGTTCGGACAAGGGGGAGATAAGTGAAGGGTCGGCGGGTCGGACCAAGGTGGAGTAAGAGCTGAGCTCTGTTAACTTCTTGGGGCAAACCAAGATGGCGCCAAACTCCAGAATGGTAAAACCCTGCCCAGATCGGGTTGGGACGGTGGTTTCGACGTCGAAGAAGACAATTTCGGACCGATCTTCAGCAGGACCCATCAAGGTCGACGAGAATTTCAAGCTCCAAGCTTGAAGGATGAAATGGAAAGAAGGGAAGCAGAGGAATAGCGGGAATCTTTTCGTTATGAAAGATGTACTTGCTGATTTGATGTCCGCGTGAAATTAAAACACGGCGGGCATGGCCGGATTTAAAACAAGACGGCTCTGCTTTCGAAATTGAGATTGCTTCTTCGGTCGGCTTTCTTTTTGGGCTCACAGGCTCGATTTGGATTTGGACCATGACCGAAGACACCTCTGTCTTTTTCTTTTGGGAGAAAAAAAAAAAAAGGAAGTGATTAAATGAATATTTTTTTAATTGTCTTTTAAAAGTAAATAAAAAATACTAAACCGCTTGAAATGTCTGAGGAAGAAGGACAGGGATGAAGTCCTTTGATTTTTTTTTTAACCAGAAGGATGAAGTGTTTTGATAATTTTGATAGCAAAATTAAATAAGTATTTTTATATATATTTAAAATCAACATGGTGTTTACATAATTTTTTTCATTTTATTTATGTTGATTCCCTTTTTCTTTTAAGAATATCCCAATTGAAAGGGTATTAATTTAGTTGTTATACAACAACTTAGTGCCGTGGATTATATTAATTTGACTTTATATCAAAAGTGCTCCGAAAATATGCGAATAATAATATTGTCCCTTACGTGCCCCTGGGAAATTAAGAAATAACGTGACCTGAAGGGAACAATAAGAAGATGCCTCGTTTAAAATATAAGGTGACCTATACGTAT